GCTGTAGATAAAGTTGGTATCCGTGATGATTTCTTTAGATTAGGTGGTAATAGTATTGTAGCAATAAGATTGGTTAGTCAGTTAAATAAAAAGTTAAATAGTGATATTGCTCTATCTTCAATATTTAAACATAGAACAATACAGGAATTAGTTCATTATTTTAAATATAGTACTGAAGATAAAGTAATAATAAATAAAGCTATCGCTACTGACGTGGGGGAACAATTATTATCCTTTGCTCAAGAGAGATTATGGTTTATTGAAAAGTATGAAGAAGGAACTAATGCTTATAACATATCAATGATATTTAAATTATCCAATGATATTAAATTAGATATATTAGAAAAAAGTGTAAGAAGTATAGTTACTAGACATGAAATATTAAGAACTTTGATTAAAGAGAATAGTGAAGGTAATGGTTATCAGGTTGTTATAAATGATCAAGAACATCCTTTAGAAATAATCAAAGTAAGTATAACAAATTACTCACAATTACCTAATTCTATTCGATATCCTCTGATCTTTACTTGAAAATCATTACGTCCTATATATTCTAAATTGCCATCAGGTAACCAACGTACTAAATCTCCTGTTTTATATAGACGGGTATTCTTATTATAAACTTTCTCTTCTTCTGTTTGAAATGGATTAGCAATAAATTTCTCTGCAGTAAGGTCTGGTCTGTTTAAATATCCTCTAGCGAGTCCTACTCCTCCTATGTATAGTTCTCCTATCCCTCCTATCGGTAATGGCATTAAGTTATTATCTAATACATAGCACTTAATATTAGCAATCGGTTTTCCAATTCTTACTGTAGTATTTGCTACAGATAGTACAGAATTACTTATAATATCCTGATAGTATGTTACATCCGCACTAACCTCTGAAGATCCATATACATTAATCAATGTAACCCATGGTAATATTTTATGTAAGCTTTTTGCTAATGATACATCAAGCATTTCTCCACTACAAAAAATGTACTTCAAACTTTGCAACTTTAATAGTTCTGAAGATGGTTGTTGCAATATGACCTTTAACATTGCAGGAACAACGACTATACGACTTATATGACTAACTGATATTTCCTCTATCATTTGAGAAATATTCAATTCGTTAACTACATTACTTGACAACAAAATAATAGGTACTCCTTGCAACAATGAAGAAAATAATTCAGCTATATGATCAACAAAATTTAGAGAACTCTTCTGACAACAAACTTCACTAGAATCGAATGGAAAACTCTGCCAAGACCATACAAGCCTATTGGTAGTACCATAATGCGTCCCACATACCCCTTTGGGTTCTCCTGTTGAACCAGAGGTATAAATTAAATAAGCTACATTACTATAATAAGTTATATTAGTAGGATTAAATCTATTGTAACCTTTAATAATAGGGACAATATTTTCCCATAAAAATATATTGATTGCTTTAAGATTGCTATGTATCTCAGTTTCTTGTGGCCACGGTAACAGTTTTAATATTTTTTGCGTTGTTAATAAAATTGGTGACTTTGTGTCTTCTAACATGAATTTTAGCCGTTCAATAGGAGATCTAGGATCTATTGCTAGATATGTACCACCAGATTTTAAAATTCCTAACAAACCTATAACCAACTCCAAACTTCTTTCTAAACAAATTGCCACTATAGTTTCTTGCTTTACGCCTTTGTCTCGTAAATAATAAGCTAGCTGGTTTGCCATCTCATTTAATTCTCTATATGTGAGTTTAGTCTCTCCATATATTATAGCTACGTTATCAGGAGTTCTTTTTGCTTGCTCCTCAAATAATTGATGGATGGTTTTATCATTTGGATAATTTATATCAGTAAGATACATCTGAAAAGTTAAGAGAATTAGCAAAAAGATTAAAGGTAAGTTTATACAGCGTTATCAGGAGTTCTTTTTGCTTGCTCCTCAAATAATTGATGGATGGTTTTATCATTTGGATAATTTATATCAGTATCATTCCAATCATAGATAATTTGTTGATATTGTTCTAAATCTAAATAATTTAATTCAGTTACTTTAACTGTATCTTGCTTTTGTTTATCAGAAGCAATTTCTGCTAATTGCTTTAATATTTGTACATAAGTTTCAATAAATCTGCTAATTGTTGCTTCATTATATAAGCTTACCGCATAATTAAAGCTACCTTTTAAAGCAACTTCACTATCATCTATGAATGTGCTGATATCAAATCTTGCTACTTTATACAAAGTAGTTTCCGTCATATATTCTTGCAATAAATTCGTTAGATCATTTTCTATTAAATCTCTATTTTTATTGTAAGATCTAATATTAAATCCTTGTACTAAAAACATAACTTGGAATATAGGATACCTACTAGTATCTTTAACTACTTTTAACTCTTCTATTAATCTCTCAAACGGTAAGTCTTGATGTAATTGAGCTGTGATTATCTCATCTCCTATCTTTTGTATAAAATCTTTAATTAAAGTCTTTGAGTCTATCTTTACCCTTAATGCAAGTAAATTAACAAAAAAACCAATCAAATTTTCTACCTGGCCATAGTGTCTATTAGCTACTGGAGTTCCTACTACTATATCATCTTGGTTACTATAACTTCTGAGCATTAAATAGTAGCCACTGAGCAGAACGCTGTATAAACTTACCTTTAATCTTTTTGCTAATTCTCTTAACTTTTCAGATGTATCTTCATCTAATTCAAAATAAACATCTGAACCTTGATAACTTATTTGACTAGGTCTTGGTTTATCACTAATCAGATTTAGTGTTTCATAATTTTCTAGTTTATTTTTCCAATATTCTAATTGTTTAGCTAATCTGTCTCCACTTAGATAATTTCTCTGCCATAATGCAAAATCTTTATATTGTATACTTAAATTTGGTAATTCTATGTTACTTTCTAAACCCTGAAATTGGTTCAAATAGTAGTTATAATATTCTTGTAATTCTCTTAAAAATATATCAGCAGACCACCCATCAAAAGCTATATGATGTATTACTATACTTAGGTAATACTCTACTTTTATATTATCCAATAAATATAAACATGCTCTTATTGGATACTCTTTAGTTAGATCACATATATAATTTATTTGTTTTTCTAATTCTCGATCTAATTGTAAATGATTAATTATATTTACTTTGATTATCTCAAGGGGATGTTCTTGATCATTTATAACAACTTGATAGCCATTACCTTTACTATCTTCTTTAATCAAAGTTCTTAATATTTCATGTCTAGTAACTATACTTTTTACACTTTTTTCTAATATATCTAATTTAATATCCTTAGATAATTTAAATACCATTGGTATATTATAAGCATTAGTTCCTTCTTCATACTTGTCAATAAACCATAATCTCTCTTGAGCAAAGGACAATAATTGCTCTTCTACGTTAGTGATAACAGCTTTATTTATTATCACTTTATCTTCAGTACTATATTTAAAATAATGAACTAATTCCTGTATTGTTCTATGTTTAAATATTGAAGATAGAGCAATATCACTATTTAACTTTTTATTTAACTGACTAACCAATCTTATTGCTACAATACTATTACCACCTAATCTAAAGAAATCATCACGGATACCAACTTTATCTACAGCCAAACCTAGTACATTGGTCCAAATCTCACATACTTGCTTTTCTACTTCATTACGTGGAGCTACATAATTATCCCCACTACTGAACTCAGGCTCAGGTAATGCCTTTCTATCTAACTTACCATTGATTGTTAATGGTAATTCCTTTAAGTACACTAGCACAGATGGTATCATATATTCTGGTAATTTCTTTTGTAGATAACCTATAATATTTTCTTCATCTAATTTAGATTCTGATACATAGTAACCTACTAAATATTTATTAACTACTAAGTCTTCTTCAGTATTTTTATGTTCTTTAGCAATTACAACACTTTGTCCTATCCCATCATAACTTGATAAAGCATTTTCTATTTCTCCTAATTCTATTCGATATCCTCTGATCTTTACTTGAAAATCATTACGTCCTATATATTCTAAATTGCCATCAGGTAACCAACGTACTAAATCTCCTGTTTTATATAGACGGGTATTCTTATTATAAACTTTCTCTTCTTCTGTTTGAAATGGATTAGCAATAAATTTCTCTGCAGTAAGGTCTGGTCTGTTTAAATATCCTCTAGCGAGTCCTACTCCTCCTATATATAATTCTCCTATCCCTCCTATCGGTAATGGCATTAAGTTATTATCTAAAACAAGAATTCTATAGTTAGAATATGGCTTACCTATTGTTAAGTCTTTATCTAAACATATCTTGCTATTACATGTACCAACTGTAGCCTCAGTTGGTCCATATTCATCCCATATTGTTAAGTTAAAATTTTCGTCGCTATATAGATCACGTAACT